ACCAAAGGCTGGTTCACACTATAGAAACGCAGTACAGATGCATTTCGGATACGTTTTTGGCGCATTCTGGTGCATTGTTTTATGCGTTTTTGATGCGTTCCAGTTAATTTTTTCCCCTCTCTTTTTCTTGAATTTAAATAGGGACATGTGCATTTCAGTGTGTTTTTTCATGCGTTTCCGTGCGTTTTTGATGCATTTTACCACATTCCAGTACAGTTCTGTGCAGAAAAAAATGCAGCCTGTTTTACTTTTTTTCTGCAACCAGAACGCACTGGAACTGCAAGCACTGATGTGAACTATGACACTGACAACCACATAACCTACTTTCTGTGCATTTTGGATGCAGAAAAAAAGCATCTGAAATGCATGCAGTGTGAACTGGCCCTACGGCTGAAAAACCTTTGTAGGAGGAAGCATAACACTGGCTGTGTGGAAATACTATTTATCATTCGATATTTGTATTTAAAGAATGGGGAAGTGGGTGATTGGCTAAAAGACCAGGCTTGCTCAGAGCAATAGCTTCCTCTTGGCAGTTTGTGGTTTAAAAGTCGAAGTAATTCCAGATCAGCAGGAATATCAGGAATACCGGTAAGAAAATGGTCTCTGTTAGGGCTCATGTACACTGCAGCTCCAAAACTGACGTTCAGGAGCTGTTCAGCGTTTTTTTCAGCAGCCCCTGAACTTTCCTTTATGTTTTCCTATGTGTCCATGTACACTATGTCATTTACAGGCAGTTGAGTTTAGTCGTTTTTATGAATGCACCAAGCTTGTGTTCAGGAGTAGATTTTACCTGTGTTTCAAATGACAAACGCTTGTAAATGCGGTTAACCGCGTTTAGAAGCGTTTTTTTAACTGTTCCATGTCCAGATGCTGTCCAGAGCCCTTTTTTCATCAACAGAAATGCATGCAAAGCGTTTTCCATGTATTCAAATGGACCCGATACACCAGCGCAGTCAGTTCCAGGTTTCGCGTGAAGGAAAAAATGGTAGAACTTGCCGCATTATGCTCATGATGGGATCCATAGTGAATACAACCAGAAAAGTCAGGTCATCTCAACACATACTGCTCTCTCTCTGCTTCTGCTCTCTCTATTCCTCTCAAAAATGTCTGAAATTGTTAATTTTTTACTATATTTCAGTGCATTCTGGGCATTTGGGAGGGTCTCCTGAGGTTATCTTGTAAAAACGCTTCTAAATGCAAATGCGGTATGCAAACGCGGCTAAACTGACGTTTTTTAACCTACGTTTTCCAGCAGTCAGTTTCCATCCTTCATAAACGTTTTCCAGACGCCCCGTGTACATGAGCCCTTACTCGAATGCAATAGAGTGGGTGTATTGTGTTTTTTTCTTATACTTTAAATAGTGACTAAATATAAATACTAATATTAAAACCATATTGATAATACATATGCATACATTTATATTAAAAATATAATAATATAATTGTTAGTAATACCTAAAGCTTATTATTTAAATATATTAATATATAAAATAACTGAATTATTATCATGATCATATCATTAGTAAAATAAATGAATAGTGACCAGGCACAGTGGTTGGCTAGCACAGCAACAGTAGCACTGACCAGTACTGAACCAGACAGGTTGCTGTTAAGCTAGCCATACACCAGTAGAATTTTGTTCAAACTTTTATACAGAAATTCAGAAAAATTGTTTGTCAGAGTATTTGATTATGAACTTGACAAATTTTATATGAAAACCCTGAAGAATTTTCTTAAATTGCCATGCAATTTTTCAAATTCAGCATTCACCTTCATGATGTACATGCACATCCCAGTACGAATTTACCCAAACAAAAACCAAATTATCATTTAAAATTTTGTTGGTTCAAGGGAAATTTCTGTTTTTCTCCATTTATTTTCCTTATCACTATGGTGGAAACAGTTGTCAATTTGATCCCATTAACTATTCGATCAAATAGACAAGACACATTTTTTCGAACTGAATTTTACTGTTGTATTGGCAACTTTTAGTGGAATAATCACGTGCTGCAGTGGATATAAAAAGTCTACACACCCCTGTTAAAATGTCAGGTTTCTGTGATGTAAAAAAATGAGACAAAGATAAATAATTTCAGAACTTTTTTTCACCTTTTTAATGTGACCTATAAACTGTACAATTCAATTGAAAAACAAACTGAAATCTTTTTCGGGGGGGAAGTAAACATAAAAAAACTAAAATAATGTGGTTGCACAAGTGTGCACAACCTCTTATAACTGGGGATGTAGCTGTGTTCAGAATTAAGCAATCACATTCAAAATCATGTTAAATAGGAGTCAGTACACATCTGCTATCATTTTAAAGTGCCCCTGATTAACACCAAATAAAGGTCAGGTGTTCTAGTAGGTCTTTCCTGACATTTTCTTAGTTGCATCCTACAGTAAAAGCCATGGTCCGCAGAGAGCTTCCAAAGCATCAGAGGGATCTCATTGTTAAAAGGTATCAGTCAGAAGAAGGGTACAAAAGAATTTCCAAGGCATTAGATATACCATGGAACACAGTGAAGACAGTCATCATCAAGTGGAGAAAATATGGCGCAACAGTGACATTACCAAGAACTGGACGTCCCTCCAAATTGATGAAAAGACGAGAAGAAAAGGGGTCTGGGAGGCTGCCAAGAGGCCTACAGCAACATTAAATGAGCTGCAGGAATATCTGGCAAGTACTGGCTGTGTGGTACATGTGACAACAATCTCCTATAGTCTTCATATGTCTGGGCTAAGGGGTAGAGTGGCGAGACGGAAGTCTTTTCTTACAAAGAAAAACATCCAATCCCGGATAAATTTTGCAAAAACACATCTGAAGTGTGAGAAAAAATGTGTTATCGTCTGATGAAACCAAGGTTGAACTTTTTGGCCATAATTCCAAAAGATATAAGTTTGGCACAAAAACAACACTGCACATCACCAAAAGAACACCATACCCACAGTGAAGCATGGTGGTAGCAGCATCATGCTTTGGGGCTGTTTTTCTTCAGCTGGAACTGGGGCCTTAGTCAAGGTAGAGGGAATTATGAACAGTTCCAAATACCAGTCAATTTTGGCACAAAATCTTCAGGCTTCTGCTAGGAAGCTGAACATGAAGAGGAACTTCATCTTTCAGCATGACAACAACAACCCAAAGCATACATCCAAATCAACAAAGGAATGGTTTCTGCAGAAGATGATTAAAGTTTTGGAATGGCCCAGCCAGAGCCCAGACCTGAATCCGATCGAACATCTGTGGGGTGATCTGAAGAGGGCTGTGCACAGGAGATGTCGATTTGGAGTGTTTTTGCAAGGAAGAATGGGCAAATATTGCCAAGTCAAGATGTGCCATGCTGATAGACTCATACCAAAAACACTGAGTGCTGGAATCACATCAAAAGGTGTTTCAACAAAGTATTAGTTTAAGGGTGTGCACACTTATGCAACCATATTACTATAATTTTTTATTTTTTACTTCCCTCCACCTAAAAGATTTCAGTTTGTTGTTCAACTGAGTTGTGCAGTTTATAGGTTACATTAAAGGTGGAAAGTTCTGAAATGATTTATATTTGTCTCATTTTTTTACATCACAGAAACCTGACATTTTAACAGGGGTGTGTAGACTTTTTATATCCACTGTAAGTGTGGACTCCCAACACTGATGACATGAATGGTGTCCTACAACATGTCATTCAGCTTGACTTTGCCATAATGAAACTATGAACTTGAGGTACATGTGACACATCTTGTGACTGTGCATTAGTATTGTAAACGGAAAATGCCCCCTTACTGTAAAATGTGTCTGCAGGGGCCTCGAGGGCTGCAGAAGGGCATCAGTGAAGTAGGGAGTTCCAGAGGATGGGAGAGACTAGAGAAGTCCTAGACATGAACATTTGAGGACATATGCAGATTGGGAGATCCTCCTTTTTTTTTTTTTTTTTTTCTGTCTTTATTTGCTGTAGCCTTGTTCTGGCTAAGCAGTTCAACGTTATAGAGTGGAGTTGGGCAGAATATTGCCCTATTTCTAAATGCCTGTTTGGTTTACTGGTGTTGACTATATTAGCAGTTATGGGCTAAATAAATAGATCCACTGTGTATGTACTACTGCATAAATGACCGAGTTGCCGCATTTTCCCACCCATTTTATTAATGCTGCTACAGAGGTTGGAATCTTTTGAACTTTAAAGCATTTATAGCATTCTGTAGTCTTTGGTGTTCTAGGTGCTTTCCTCAGTCAGGTAATTTTTAGCAGAACAACCGCAGACCGTGAATTTATTCACCACTTTAATGCCACTTATGGCTTATGGGCAATGTTATTTTTTTGCCCACATGCAAAAATGTGCATTTTTGGGCATCTAATTACGTAAACCCCCCAGAACATTATATATTTTCTCAAAGCAGAGAACGTGTGAAATAAAAAGATAGTAGTTGCAATTTTTTTACGTTGCACAATATTTGCGCAACTGTTTATCAAATGCATATTTTCAGGAAAAATGTAAAATGAATTTTAGTGCACATAAACCAAATATAACACCCAATTTTAAGTCCTCATGCACACTGGGTGTTTTAAAAAGGCTGGTAGCTCTAGCTATATAAAATCACGTTAAAACCGCAAGTTTTTCTGCATTTTTTTAGCTTTTTTGCATTAGCGTTTAGCCGTGTTTGCGTTTTTTACACCAAAAAATAAATAACATATATGTGTGTGCATTTGTGTCTGCATTTGTTGGTGTGTTCAGGGCATTACAGTTAAATTGTGTTTTTTTTTTTTTTGTGTGTTTTTTGTTTTTTTTTATAATTATATTTTTATTTTAACTTTTTTATGTACTTATTTTTTATTGAACTTTATGGCATTGGGCAGGTGACAGGTACTTTTTTTTTTTTTTTTTTTTTTGTTTACAAACGTTTTTCTTAAGGGATAGACTGCAAGAATAGCACAACTTCATGAGGTATAGTATACATCAAGAAAAAGGCACTTAATCTCCTTAGCGGTATTCCCGTGTGTAGCTCGGGGTAAAATGTCAGTACCAAAAGCGGTAACCCCGAGGTGCACTCGGGCTTACCATGCGGTGTTGCTCAGGGAGTCCCTGCAGCACTTACCTTGTCCTTCGCTCCCACGATGTGTCCCCTGCAGCGTCCCCGGCCATCTCCTCCGGCCGATGCCGGAATCCGGCTTCCGTGTTCTGGTCCCTGTGACGTCGGGACGTCGGCGGCAAATTTAAAATTTTTAAAAAAATGTCATTTTTTTTAAAATAACTATTACATAGTAAAACATTGCTGTTTCAATGCATTTCACATACATTTTGTCCCTAGTGCTTTGTCCTCTGCCCTGCCTGCATTTTGACTGTTCTTTCTGCCTGGAAACTTAGAAAAGTCCATGGCGTCCAAAAAGAGTCCCTTTACGTCAAAAGCGGTTTTAGACCAGCTAAAGAACAGCGATAGTAAATCAGAACCACTTGCAGAATTGAGTGATAATGATTTGTGGGGAAATTCGTCATCAGACACTGAAAACGATTTTGCGACTTTGCTCAGTGATGTGTGAATTTGCCTCTGTATTTCAAATTTGTTTTTTTGGTTTGATTATATTATTGAATTAAATTTATTATTATATTATTATTTTTTATGATTGTTTATTAAATTATAATTTATGATTTCGTGTTTCAAATTTTATCCTACCCGGGATGTTTACTAGACTCTTGCTCGTACAGATTTCAGTGAGTTATTCCTAAAAATTACAGCCTACAATAAAAAACTACATATTTCCATGCAAAAAAATGGTACCGCTTTCAGCACAAAAAATCGTAAATAATCATACCGCCGAGGAGGTTAAGTAATAAACAGTATTATAAAACACAATCATAGAAAAATAAAATCAAGTACGTGAATGAGGTAGGCAGTAAGATATGCAGAACAACAACCAACAAAGATTCAGAACCAATCAATCTATGATAGTCTATCAATCGAACAATAAATGCCGATGTGTTTCCAACCATCCCATTTTCTGTTGAATTTGTGCATCCTATCCAGCATATGTTCCATGAGCATTACCATATCGACTCTCCACTAAACAGAAGGTAAAGGTACCACTGGAGACTTCCAATGGAGGGCAATGGCCGTTAAGGTAGAGACACAGTGTGAATCAGCCTTATCACATTGACTTGGGTCCCCGAAATGGGAGCACCCAGTAAAGGTGACAGGTACTCTTTAGGCCTCATGCACACTGGACATTTTTTACAGCTGCTCCTCGAGCGTCAGGCAGTCTTCTTTCAACTGCCTCTAAACTCTCCTGCATGTTCGCTTATGTGTCCCTTCACACACAGGCCTTTAGCAGCTTTTAGTGTCAGAAAAAAAAAAAACACTGCCAGGGTGTCCTGGAGCAGCGGCATTTTGGCTAAAAAAAAAAACTTGCGAGTGTAAATGTACCTAAATGCTAGGCGTGTTTAGTGCTTCAGCATGAATTTATTTCATAAATTATTTTATTCTGGCTAATGAGATTAATGCCCAAACGTTTGATGTGGGCAAACATGGCTCACACTTTTACAAGCCTCAAGGATTTTTTTTTTTTGCCAAAACGCTGCTGACCTCTAGGGGAGTTAAAATTACCGGCAGTGTGCATGAGGCCTTATAGAGACATCAGGGGTCCAATAGACCCCAGTGCCTCCTCCAGAGAATCTCCTCAAGCTATTCAGTTGCATGCATCTCTGACTGTATTTACCAATGAATGGTGACTCTGAAACCTGAAGTGACAAAATCATTGTCGCTTCTGGTTTCACTCTGTGCAGAAGAGATGAAGGGACGGACATTGTTTGGTCTCCTCTTGGTCATCACCTTGAATACATTATCTGTGATCCCGGGCTTCCGGTAATTTTTTTGAATCCCCTCTTACATAACACTGCGCAGTATTCAATTCACATACTCGCCCACCCAGCAAATCCAGCATGGTTCTGCTATGATATGCATTCTGTTGCCACATGCTGGATCCCATACACTATACAATTTTCTTCAGAATTTTGCTTTAGATTTACCAAAAACCATATAATATGAGGTCAAACCTAAACAACGCTTTCAGTTGTATTCAATTAGGCAGGCCCTTGTGCTACATAGTTGAAGGTAAATCTAAAGGAAATTGGGCAGAAAACTGTAAGAAAATTGTATAGTGTATGGCCAGCCTTAGGCTGGATATACATTATACAATTTTCTATCCAATTTCTGTCCTATTTCCTTTAGATTTACCTTCAACTATGTAGTATATATATATAGTGCAAGGGCCTGCCTATTTGGATACAGTTGACATTTTTGAAATTGGGCAGAAATTGAACAGCAAATTGTATAGTGTATGGCCAGCCTTCGTGCCATTGGGATGTCAGTGGCAGTTAGTCGTCGTCCCCCCCCCCCCCCAGTGTCAGAATGCCTGCCACAGCCCCGCTATAAGTCGCTGATTACTAGTACAGTATAAAAATGATTCTAAAAAATATCTATACCGCCATTTGTAATTGCTATAACTTTCACGTAAACCAATTAATTTGCCTGTATTGGGATTTTTTTTTCTTTTTTTTAGCAAAAACATGTAGCACAGTGGTATCAAACTGGTGGCCCTCCAGCTATTGCCAAACTACAAATCCCATGAGGCATTGCAAGATTGACAGTTACAAGGACAACTCCCAAAAGCAGAGGCATGATGGTAGTTTCGCAACAGCTGGAGGGCCACCAGCTTGACACCCCTGATTGTGGCAGAATACATTTTGGCCTAAATTTATGATCAAATTTGATTTTAAAAATGTGTTTACTGGATATGTTTTATGGCAAAAAGTCGAAAATATTATTATTTTTTTTTTTTTGTTTATAGCGCAAAATATAAAAACCGCAGAGGCGATCAAATGCCATTGAAAGAAAGTCCTGTTTGGGGGAAAAAGGACATACATTTAATTTGGGTGCAGTGTTGCATGACCGCACAATTGTCAAAGTAACGCGGCGCCGCATCGCAAAAAATGGTCTGGTCAGGAAGGGGAATAAATCCTAAGGAGGGCAAGTCGTTTTAAAAAAAAAAAAAAAAAAAAAAAAAAAAAAACCTTTTCAGTGAAGGTGAGGTTCACTAATGTGGGTTGGCAGAGCATACATAATCATGAGAATTCCTGACCCGCATGGAAATGCGCTGCTCTTTAGCAGACACGCGGGGGTGCCATTAATTGTTACTGGCACTGTGCATGTGTTTGCAGTAGTGTGCGGTTCCATGTGGTGCGTTTTTATAAGAAAGGTAGCAGACCTCTTTCTCCATGATTTTATGTGGGTACAGCAGCCCATTTAAATGAACACACAGCTTTATCCGCCATGCAAAGTGCACAGAGCCTGAGCCAGGCGCTCCCTCCTCCTCCACAGCCCAGCATTGCATTGAGCGTTGGGCGGGGACTAGAGCAGAACGTGGTGACTGACAGTCCTGCAATTAGAGCTGTCAAATCGGTGCGGGTCCAACTTGGTCGGAGCTGCACCAATTTCTAAAGATGTACATGTACATGCCAGCAGGAACATGCTGCTGTGTATTTCCCTTCACAGTAGAGAAATACACAGCTGCTTGTTTCCCCAGTAAAACACACAGCACACATTTAACCCTTTGATGGTAACCCCTTCCTACCCAGTGTCATTAGTACAGTGTTAGTACTTTTTATTAGCACTGATCAGTGTATTAGGCTGGCCATACATTATACAATTTTCTTTAGAAAATTGCTTTAGATTTACCAAAAGCCACATAATATGAGGTCAAACCTAAACACTTTCAATTGCATCCAATTAAGCAGGCCCTTGCACTACACAGTTGAAGGTAAATCTAAAGGAAATCGCACCTGTAATTGGCATCTCACCCGACTTTGAAATCGTGTGACTTCACTGTAAGTCGCACGATTTCAAAGTCGGGCTGGATGTGACCGGGGGGTAAAGCCGTGTATTTATATATATCAAAAAGAACGAAAACTTACTGGTGTGGTTGGGTGACAGTAGGAAAATGGTCTAGTGGGCAGACAGTATATACTCCAATCTATAGACTTCCAGATGGAGGAACCAAAGTCCTGATAACGCAGGAGTCCAGCACATATAGTGGAGCAGATGAAAAATTTCACCTATAATACCATAAACAAAATAATACGCTCAGGGGATGTACAGGTGGCTTGTAAAATATAATAGCTCAATGTATGTATTACTAAGCATAATACTTCACCTCCTTTTTGAACGTCAGGGGTGATCCAGATAGAAATACAATGTAATACACTTGCACTAAGTCCTTATACAGAGTCCCTATAAGAAGGGCCCCTTTTGAAGTTAGTTCTGATAACAAGTGCCTAAGAAGGGAATTCATTCACTTTGGGATGATTTCCTCTAACTTCCTGTAGCATCTCTAGGACAGGAAGTGAAGTCTCCCCAGCAGGACAGGAAGCCGAAAATAATCTGCTCGGGTTTTAAGCCATCCATACTTCTAAACATGCACCTTAATGCTTCTGTTTTTCTCAAGCAAACCCCTAGTATTAGATCACAGTGGTTGTAAATCCTTCTATATACCCATGGAAGTGACTGGCCTCAGAGATTAATCAAATCCTCCTACATAAATTGACCTTGGTTATCTGCAGTCTGTGCTTCTCTACATATATTTAAATTGCTGAATTTATAAAGCTTGTCTGAGAGTTCAGAGAAAAAGGGATTGACAGCTGAAATTACACACTGAAGAGGTCAGTGAGGAGAGCTTTGAGAGCTGATTGGAGGAAAGAGACACCCCCCCCCCTCCACACAGCACACAGGAACAGAGCTGAGCCTGTCAATCTGCTGGAGCTCCCTCCCCTGTCACCATATTTCTCTTGGTGTCAGGAAAACTTGTCTGAAGTGACTCATACTGATAGCAGAGGAATGAAGCAACAGAGAGAAATGACAGTACTCTGGATAGAGACAAGTACACACTATAGAGGGATATGCTTTGTTCATATTTCCTGTCTGATGTTTACTACCACCAGAGCTTTGAAGGCGTTCTTGGTAATTCTATCCGCATCAGTTCAATAATAACTAGTTGGATGTAATAAAGGCCTACAAGACTTTAACACCTCATTGTATTTCATATTGTTCCTGTCTATAGAACAGCTCCATGGTGACAAAGCTTTGTATGATGACGTGAAAACTCCAGGTTACTAAAACCAAAAAGGCGAGTAGGAACAAAAAGTCTGGATATACAGAGGAGACGGTGGAGACATAGGAGACTACAAATAAAGGCTAGCAATCTTTTTGGCCAGTAGACCACTTTTGCAAAACGTTCACCTCTTATGAACTTTGCCGTGTGTGCACCTGATGTATGATTCCCAAGCGTTTGTGATACTTGGTCTG